TGTGGATTACTTGTGGATTATTGTGATGTTTTTATCAGCTGTTTGGACTCATTCTGACGGCACCCATTCACTCCAATGGTGAGCAAGTGATGCAATGCTACATTTCTCCAAATCTGTTGTGATGAAGAAACAAACTCATCCTAATCTTGGATGGCCTGAGGGTGAGTAAATATTCAGAACATTTTAATTTTGTGTGAACTATTCCTTTAAAAAGTAATTAAAGAAATACAAATTGTTTCATTATTCATACATTTAATAAGCTATAATTTAATTACTGACGTAAACATTATGGTTGTGAGTCATTCATAACTAAAAGCCTTTTACATCAGTAAACCTGGCATTGTATATTACAAAAAAATTTTGCTTTGTCAAATTGCTTTTGTTCCTTTTCTGGAAGTTGCTTTGGATAAAAAATGTAAATGTAAAAGTTTAAATTCCAACTCAACCCACATGCGGTCGCCAGAGATACAGATGAGATCAGGGGAGAAATACTGTATCTTATTTTATAATATTTATAGTATTTAATAGTTTGTTTTTATGTCTAGACTAGACCTGTATATAAATATGTAATTAATTTTGTGATTTAAACAAGTATGTGAATTGCAATGATGCAACAGTTATAATTCTTAGTCATTTTATAGAATTCATTTTAAAAACAATTTAACTACCAGTCAAAAGTTAAGATTATTAGAATGATTTCTGAAGATCATGTGACACTGAAGACTGGAGTAACGATGCTGAAAATGCAGCTTTGATCACAAGAATAAATTACATTTTAACATATACTCACATAGAAAACTGTTATTTTAAATTATAATAATATTTCACAATTTTTACTGTATTTTTGATCAAATAAATGCAGCCTTGGTGAGCAGAAGACACTTTCAAAAACATTTTAAAAAAGCATAATTATTCCATGTCTATTCCTATTTTGACTGGTAGTTTAGATCCGCAAGCGTACATCTTAAATTTTGTGATGTGGATAAAGATGCAATAACTTAGGAACCTACAAATGTGTTGCAGACCAAAAAAGCTAGACAGATTTACCTCAGCACCAGACCTCTCTGAATGTCCTTCTTCATTTTCTCAGTCAAATGCTCCACATTGGTCTAAAAAAAGTATCAAACTTTCTTAATATACTAAAAAAACAGCATTTATTCTTCTGGGATGAGTGGATGTGAGGAGCATCAGGAGTGTTACTCACCTTGAGGTCATGGATGTTGAATGGATCTTCAAAAATATAAGCGGCGTCCGCACCGACAGCGATGCCTGTGGTGGTTGCCAGATAACCGCAGTATCCCCCCATAGTCTCCACCACAAAGACCCTCCTCTTGGTCCCTGTGGCCGACTGCTTGATCTTATCACAGCTCTTCATAAAACAAAGATGCACTTCAGATCAATAACTGGAGAATGGATGCAGTGAATCAATAACACAAACTGCATATTTATTAAAAGCTCATGCGATAAAGCCAAGGGAGTAAGATTTGGCAGGTGACTTCAGATGAAAGCTCTGCTTCAAAACTTAGTACTCTAATGAGCCTAAAAGTACATTTACATTTAAAATTGATCAGATGCATTTATACAAAGCGACTTCCATTGCATACACACATGGTATGCATTTGAACAGTTCATGCATTCCCTGAGAACCGAACCTATGACTTTGCAAAATACACAGGACACATTTTATTCATGTGTTTATCATTTTACGCCATATCAGCAAACTTCATGGCAAACTCAAGAATAATAAAATGTAAAATAGTCCTAATAACAATACTTCAATTAATCGAATACAATCATTTTAAAACGATATTCTTTTTTACAAACCAACAAAAATAAAAAAAAATATATAAAATCTTTCAAATTGATATTTAACAAAATACAAAGTACATAAATATGAAGTCATATTGTCTGTTTTTTATTTATTGTTTTTGCATTTATAATTGCCATTACTCTGACTCTGTCTGTTATTTTGGGTGCATTTTTTTTTCAGTCGTATTGCATTGTGGGATTGCCTTGTCTGAAAATGATGCATGCATAAGCCAAAAGAAGGCATCATAGACAGCATCATATTTATGCTACATATTTTTTGGAAAAGCATTTGCATTTAATGCATCTATGATGCCCTAAAATGCTGCCTATGTAGCAGGGTTATTATAGTTAACTAAAACCATTAAAAAAATGTTATTTGAAATTAAATATATGTTAACTGAAATAAAATAAAATATTTAAAAAACATTTTATTTCAGCTAGTTTCCAAGGCAACATTTCTCATTTTCATTTAGTTTAATCTGATGCTCTAAAATAACTCAAATTGTAATAAAAATGAATAAAATACTATATAGACATATTTAAATATATATATATATAAACACAACAAAATTACAAAAATGTAACTAAAAGTAAAATGAAAACTAAATATAAAACCTAATTCAAAATATTTATAAAAACTTGTTCTGCCTATATTTGGAAAAGCATATGTGTTGATGCCCTAAAATGCTGAATATGTAGCAGGATAATTATAGTTAAGTAAAACTAAAACTAAAAACATAAAAAAATATTTTAAATTAAATAAATGTTAACTGAAATAAAATATAAAAAAATGTAAATTTACTTAATTTCAGATAGTTACTAAAGCAACATTTATCATTTTCATTCAGTTTAACTTGATGTACTAAAATAACCAAAACTGAAATAAAAATAATAAAAACTATATAGACATATTTAAAAAAAAATAAAAAATAAACATGACAACACACAACAAAATTACAAAAAAATGTAACTAAAATTCAAATGAAAACAAAATATAAAAATAAAAACTAATTGAAAATTTTAATCAAAATTATAATAGTATCTCAACACTAAAATAAGACTGAGGGTGGTTCACTAGGTTTTGTAACAGAGCCACAGTCTTTTCCAGTGACTTCTCCATTTCTTGCAAGCCACATTTAGATTTAGTAAAATGCATGTGCCAGCCAGAGTAAATCTAAAAGAGCATATAAGAGTGTTTCTGAGTGCCGTGTGTCCTGTACTCACGGCCATCGCTGCGTTAACCGCAGTATCGCTGCCCAGACTGAAGTCCGTCCCTGGCACATTGTTGCTGATGGTGGCAGGGATGATGCACATGGGAATACATAATTCATCATAGCGTCCTCTTGCTTCAACCAACTCCAGGATGCCCTCATACGCCTGGATGTGACAGAAAATACAGTCAGATATCATCAAAAGCGGCTCGGACATTGTCTAATATCTCATTTTGTGTTTCATGGAAGATAACACAGGATGGAAATGATGACAAAACCGTCATTTGTGACCCTGGAGCACAACAGCAGTCTTAAGTCGCTGGGGGATATTTGTAGCAATAGCCAACAATACATTGTATGGGTCAAAATTATAGATTTTTCTTTTATGCCAAAAATCATTAGGATATTAAGTAAAGATCATGTTCCATGAAGATATTTTGTAAGTTTCCTACCGTAAATATATCAAAACTTAATTTTTGATTAGTAATATGCATTGCTAAGAACTTCATTTGAACAACTTTAAAGAAGATTTTCTCAATATTTTGATTTTTTTGCACCCTCAGATTCCAGATTTTCAAATAGTTGTATCTCGTCCAAATATTGTCCGATCCTAACAAACCATACATCAATGGAAAGCTTATTTATTCAGCTTTCATATGATGCATAAATCTCAATTTCAAAAAATTGACCCTTATGACTGGTTTTGTGGTCCAGGGTCACATTTGTAGGTGCACTACTCATTTAAGTGCATTGCATCACAATTTTTTTCTCTGTACCTCAAAACCACCAACGACGAGCAGTGACTGGATGCTGAACTTGTTGAGATTTTCCACTAGTTTCTCCATGCAGGTGCTTGGGAGGGTTCTGGACAATATTGCGGGTACAAAAGCTCAGTTTCAAAAATGAAAGATGAAAGATTGGGTGAAAATGCATTGATTATTAAAGGTGACTAACCGTTTAGTTCCCAGCAGAGAGCCACCCTGACCTGTCCAGCCGGCCACCTGATTCCACGACACTTCATTCACCTGTAACATCACAGTGATTTCATGAAGATTAATATAATCATTACTATTATTGTTCCAAATGAAAAACAGAAAGAGAACAGGCCTGTTTCATTCTTATATGCAGAACCCGTCAAAATAAAAGTCTGGTTTAACTTTGATTGTGACAGAAATATATTGCTATTTTACAGCAGAATGTATTCTCAAAGTAATAATAATAATAATAATATTATTTATTGTTTAATATCAGAATTTTTTTTTCACGTTTCATTTTAACAGTAAAGCTTTTAATTTTAACGGTTGTTTTAAACATTGTTTGCCAAAAAAGGAACTGCTACTTTTTTATCTGATTACATTTTAAAAGATAAAATATTTAAAATTAAATTGTTAATGTTAATGCCTTCATTTGATTACCACCATTTTCGATAATAAATTTGTATTAAATCACAAACCCAGAAAAATTAAAACACAAGAAAATTTCTGAAAAAATTAAACATTTGATAGGGCACTGTTATTTACTGAAAACGTTAAATAAATTATTAAATTGTCATTGTTTTATGAATTCAATTGATTAGACATGTTTTAAAATTTAATTTAACCATTACAACAGAGTCCAGAAAAATTATAACAGAAAAACACAAAATTGGTGAAAAAATATAACAAGTTTCATAGGGCCCTAGAAATGTAATTAAAAATGCAATTATGGCGTTAAGTTTCAAGATTTTAATTAAAAAAAATTTTGATTACTAAAATTTAATTTCAAACGGAATCCAGTACAATAAAAACATAATTTGGAAAAAAATTAAATGGATTTCATAGGCCCTATATTTATATTTGTACATATATATATATATATATATGCATTATTTCAGTCCAGGGTTATTAGTTCACTGAAACTAAAACTGAAATTAAATCTCTCTCTCTCTCACACTATATATATATAATAGTTAAAAACTACTAAAATGACAAAAGCAAAAAACTAAATTACAAAAACGTCAACTAAAATTAAAATTAAAATAGGAAATATTAAAGGGGTCATATGATGCTTTTTTAAAGATCATTATTTTATTTGGTGTGTGTAACAGAATATGTTGACATGCTTTAATGTTCAAAAAACACATTATTTTTCAAATACTGTACATTATTGTAGGTCCTCTATGCCCCGCCT